GGAGTGCCAAGCCTTAGATTCTTTAAATTTGGTCACTCTACCTCTCACTTGACATGTTATTCTTGATTGGTATTTTATTTACACTTTGTTTCTAAATGCCAGTTAGTCTCCAGTATTATTAATGTTGTTTTTACGAATGAATATTTGTATAGATTCAATTTACATGTTTACCAGTTTACCTCTTAACTGTTTTCTGTCTTTTGCATTTCATGTCTTTACTTTTGTTTCAGTTTCTTTCATCTGCTACTCCAGGAAGCAATAACTATTATAGGTCTCCCAGTGATAGCCTGTGAATAATAAAATGTTTCTCTGTTAGTCTGAAAATGACTTTATGTTAGCCTTATTTTATTTTATTTTTTTTATGTTAGCCTTATTTTAAAAGATACTTTGCTTATGTGTGTAACTTTAAGTTAAATATTTTCTCTTAGCCCTTTGAAGATGTTAATCTAGTTTTTAAGACCCTATTGTTGCTGAGAAGTCTGTTGCCTATCAAATAGTTATTCTTTTGTGGTGAGATGTCTTTCCCCTCTGGTTGCTTTTGAGATTTTTCTATCTCTGGTACTCTGTAGATTCTTTCACTATCATTTGTCTATGGATTTTTTTCCTGCCTTGTCCTTTAGTGTGAGGACTTACATCTTTCTTTAAGTATGGAAAATTTCAATGTTTTCTCTGAGTGTTGCCTCTCCTCCTATTTTTCTCCTACAGGAACTCCTACTGGGGGTGCGTAGCATCTTCTCATGTCCTCTCTGTCTCTTAGCTCCTCTCGTGGGGTTTCCACCTCTTTAATCTGTACTGCATTCTGTGTTATTTATTCGGCTCTATTCTCTAGGTAAAGATTCTTCCTCAGCTGTGTCCAATATGCTGCTTAACTGTCCTTTTAAGCTTTTTATTTCAGTGACAATGTTTTTTATTTCTACAAAATTTTTTAATATGCCTAGATTTTCTTCATAATGGCTTCTTTTCTTTCTTCTATATCTTTAATCATTTGTTTAATTCAGATTGCACTAGTTTTATAGTCATGTGCATGTGTATACTTTTATGCCACCTTATCATATGTATAGCTGTGTGTAACAGCCACCACAGTGGAGATACAGAACTGCTCCATCACCCCAAGGCTCATGTTGCTCTTTAGAGCCACGCCCACTTCCTTCACTCAACCAGCTTGTTCTTAACCCCTGGCAACCACAAATCTGGTCTCTATTTCTGTAATTTTGTTATTTCAAGAATATTATATAAATGAAATAATGCAGTATATAACCTTTGAGATTGGCTTGTTTCATTTGCCATAATTCTCTCAAGATCCATCCAAGCTATGTGTATTAATAGTTCCCTCCTTTTTATTGCTCAGTAATATTCTATGGTATATACCATAGGTTGTTTAACCACTCACCAGTTGGAGGACATCTGGATTATTTCCAGTTTTAGGCTAATATAAATAAAACCATTATGAATTTTCATGTACAGATTTGTGTAAGCACAGATTTTCATTTCTCCGGAATAAATGCCCAAGAGTTCAATTGCAGGATCATATGTTAGTTGCATGTTTAGTTTTAAAAGAAATAGCCAAACTGTATTCCAGAGTGGGTATATCATTTACTATTCCTAGCATTGTGTGAATGATCCAGTCTCTTCACATCCCCCGCAGCATTCTTATAGGTGTGTAGCGATATCTCGTTGTTAGGCTTTGCATTGCCCTAGTGGCTAATGATGTTTAGCACCTTTTTGTGTATTTGCCATCTACATGTCTTCTTTGCTGAAACATCCATTTGTATCTTTTGCCAATTTTCTAATTGGATTTTTTTAACTGCTTAGTTTTGAGAGTTCCTATATATTCTATATACAAGTCCTTTTTTGGATTTGTGGTTTGCAAATATTTTCTCCCCATCTATAGCTTATCTTTTCATTCTCTTCACGGGGTCTATTGCAAAGCAGAAGTTTTAAGCTTTGATGTGATCCAATTTGTCAATTTTTCCTTTTAAGAACTATGTTTTTGGTGTCAACGCAATCATTTTAACTTAACTATCTAATAGTCTCTTTTTTTCCATTAAATGTTTTTTTTTCTTTTTAATTGGGGGGGGCAGGTAATTAGGTTTATTTATTAATTTTTAATGAAGTATTGGGGATTGAACCCAGAGTGAATGCTAAGCATATACTCTCCCGCTGAGCTATACCCTCTCCACTTTTCTCCATTTTTAAAAATTGAAGTACAGTCAATTTACAATGTCTAGTAGTCTTTTTCTGATTTACAAATTACCTAACTTATGACTTTATTTTCTTCATCTATCAAATGGGGATAAGGGTAGATTGTTATAAATGCTAAATTCGACTATGCATGTAAAGTGCTTAGTACAGCATCTGTCGCATAGTAAATATCAGCTCATCTTTACAGACACCTCACTGTCTCGCTTACAGGACTATGGTCTCCAGGAAGACAGGGACCTAATCTTAGTAAGTTTGTTGAGTGCATTTGCACCTCTGTGTAATAGCCTTTTTCTCGACTGAAGGTCATATGCCATGTTAGTTCACTATCTAGAAGACTCTTTGAAATAAACATTTATTTATTATTGTATTATTTTAATTGTTTTATTTTGGGGGGAGGAGGTAATTAGATTTATTTACTTTTAAAGGAGGTACTGGGGATTGAACCCAGGATCTTGTGCATGCTGAGCATGTGCTGTACCACTTGAGCTAAACCCTCCCCCCTAGAAGACTCTTTTAATAAAGAGAGAAGATCCCCATGTAGCCTATCTTGTGCTTATGTGGTAGGGCATGCTTAGTGGGAAAATATTTCTAGTTATTGATATTTGTGCCTCTCCCTCCCTATGGTCTGGGCAGCTCTACTGATCCGAGTTTTCCCAAAGTTCTTGTGGCCATTCATTTTTCTGGTCACCTTCCCTCTTGAAGCTGTGCTTGTACTTTTTCTGGGGTGGCTAATCATTTTTCTTTTAAATTCACTTTTAAATCCTTCTTCCAGAGCACCCTGTATGCAGCTAAAGTTATTTTGCATTTGGCAACTCTGAGAAATTTTAAAATGCAATTAGAGAGCACATTTTCCTCTTTCCTCTAGTTACTCCCATGTTACATTTCCCATGAGGTTTATTAAGAGTTTAAAGGAGGGAAACAATGTAGCCATCTTTCCCTTTGACTTACTGTAATAATTTAAATAATCCCTTTTAAACGAATGTGTGGATTTAAAAGTTAACAGCAATAATCATTGAGTGGTAATATTATCAATGTTTATTTTTTCTTTATGCTTTTCAACATAAATTCTTGTTGGGTTGGTTTACATTCTGTTCTCACTTCGGCTGTGACAGTTCTCTCAGAGACTGCTAACTGTCTTCAAAGTCC